AACTCCTTTGCATATTGTCTTTTTGTTTCCCCAAAATATACTGTTAATTGTGGTCAGTCTCTGAGATTTCCTAGATAAACCAGGCCAAAAATACTGATGATTTCTGCCTATTGGTTCTGGCTGGGTTAGACTGGGTGAGTTGGGCCATCACCTCCTCTCTAATGCCTTCCTGGTTTAGGTGCAGGTTGGACCACCCCTCTGTGTGCTGCCTGTCCTGTGGGCCTGGCATTAGGCACAGGGGCCTGTGACAGCTCTGAGGGCTCCAGCTCTCCCTCCTGCTGGGCTCTGCAGTTATCCTGCCTGTCCAGGTCCCCTGGCAGGGCTGGCACCCTGCAGTGAGCAGAAGTGCCAGGTGGCCAGTTTCCTGGGTCTGCAGACAATTTTCTCAAAGTCATCTAATATTGCCAAAAATACAACAGGGCTGAACTCTGCTTTTCCCATGTAGCTGACACTGACCTGTTCACTCAGCAGGGCAGCAGGGAGATGCTCTGGTAGCTGTTGGGGCTGACAGGCTCTGCAGAGCACTGCAAACAGCTGCTGAATAACAGTGCCCATCAGTTAAGGAACTCTGAAGATGTAAGTGAACTCCTCACATGCAGAGTTTCAAAGACACAAGGTGCTGGGAAGCACCTCTCTGAGACATGGGGAATCTGTTTTCTCTGTTGGGAAAGAAGAAAGATTCCCCATCCCACAGCCACTCTGTCCCCTCACCTAGGCTGGGTCCTCTGTTATACTCTGAACACATTTTGTAGCTGTCCCTGTGAAGTACATGGCTCAGGAAGCATGTGACTGTGAAAGTACAGCAAGATGAGGCATTTCCCCCCATCCCCATCTTTCACCACATGTGCTCCCAGGGTTTGCTGATAGGGCTCAGTGATGCAGAGCAGCAAAGATCAAAGTCCAGAGCAGAGAGCTAGTGAAGGATCTGCTAACAGCAACTGAGCAATGAGATGAGCAATGACTGGTAAATACGAAATGACATATGTAGGGTTGATCTTTCTTGATGTCACACACAGTGCTGGTCTCTAAATTAGCTAATTAGCTACAGCCACTTGGGAGAGATCTTAGCACTGCAATGGATCTTCTCAGCTTGCTGGTCAGGAGGAGCCAGACAAGCAAAGAGAAGGTTAGAAATCATTAGGAGAGGAATAGAAAGCAGAATCAAACAGTGAGTGCCCTACAGTATCAATACACAATTCAGCTGCATCCTGTGCACTGCCCACACTGGCAAATGGTCCAAAATTCTGCTCCATTCATCAAAAAAACAGCAACATAAAAACAGAAACTGTAGAGAAAGATGAAACAGCTGCGGCAGAGCAGTGTTTCTAGAAGCACAAAATAGACTGGGACTCCTCAGTCAGGAAGAAGTCTGGGTAACGGTGCTTAATGGAGGAATTGAAAGGGGAAGGTGAGTAGGAAATTGTTCTCTCCATGTGTAATGGGAGATACCTGTTGATCTCTGAAAATTCAGGTGGCACGGGCCAGGTTCAAACCCAAGTGAACAGAGGCATCTCTGCAAGCAACATGTCGCTGCAACAGGGAAGCTTTCTGACCGCAAGAGAGGTACCTGAACACTTGTAGGGTCCCATGAACTCTTCCGTGTGACCAAAAAGCCAACAGACTGTTACAAACCACTGTGAGGGGACTAGAGAACACAGCCAGGCCATTGCTGTGTGACACTGCATCATGGTTCACTTCCAACTTGCACAGTGTGCTGGCCTTGTCCCACCATCTTCCTGGCTTTTTAATTCATAGGCACAGCAATATCTTGTACCAACAAAATCCACAAGTGAGTTATGAAGGTGTAATCAAGCTCTTCATAAGAAGCTTAAGCTCTGTAAGCTGCTATTCATTTTAAACCTGCCCCATGTTCCCTTGGCTGCCTCAATTCCCAGACATTTCTTGGTCACCTTCTCCTCACCAATACTGATTTTATACCCCTGTCATGATCCCTCCTGAGTTTCTCCCCATTCAAGAATCACTTTGTGTTGTAGATTATCATGATCACCTTTATCTGTCCTGTCTCTAGTTCCATGGGGTGAGGAACAGCAAGTGTTTAAGTTGTAGGTATGTCATGGGTTTCTCCAATGCTATAATTAGGTCTGGCTGTTCTATATTTCCAACATCCATCACAGAACCACAGTAAGATTTTGACTGGAAGGGGCCTTTGGAGATCTCTCAGCCCCATCTCCTGCTCCAAACAGGACTCCATTCAAAAGTAGGGCAGGCTGCTCAGGTCCTTGTCCAGTCAAATGTTGAAACCCTCAGAGGATGGGATTTCTCCAGACTCCTGTACGGCTCTGCTCTCGTTTCTTCCTCAGTTTCTCCCCATCCCAGTTGGGTGCCAGCTGGCACAGGCACTGACCTCATGTTTTCAGAGATGTGTCTGCAGGGACTCCAGAGATCCCTCCCAAGGGATAATACTGGATTTCCACCCACCTTTGCATATGCTGGCAGGGGTCTCTCTCCTCTGAGCACTCTTGGCCTAGGAGATGGTGGATGGCCACCTCCACAGCTAAAATACAAGTGCAATTGTTGCCTAAATACCCATGTTCCTAACATCTGCACCCCAGCACCATCCCTTGGTTCTTCTGCCAGCTCAGGCACATTCCAGGGGCATCCTCAATAGAGTCACTCTCCCACCCAGCCAGCAGGTGCCAGCTGGCACAGACGGATGCCATCCTGCCATGAGACATTCCTCCCTCTTTGCAGCTCACAGGGTGGTACAAAACTCTTTGTTCCTTGAGCCTCCCATCAATGAATCTTCCTCCCCAGTCCCTCCACCCTGGCCATGTCAGTCTTTGGAGATAGTGCCCTGTGAGATCCTGTTGTGGTTCCATCATGTGAAACGTATTCAAGGGACAAGCAATTGTACCAGTGACATCCAGGGTGACACCCTCTGGAGCTCAAGGCTGGATTGCATTTTAGTCTTAGGGCTCTGTTTCTTCATCATTCTCTTAAAACCTCTGTCACTGGCCTTGCATTTGCCTCAGAAGTTTGGAGTGAGGAGTCCTCCCTGCTCCTCTGCTCTGTGCCACCAGGCCCCTTCATCTTGGCAGCTCACAGTGTCTGTGTCCCTCTTTCCTCAAGCCTTTAGAAAAAGCTGTTTGAGGTTTGTTGATCACAACCTGGCAGGAGTCAGCTCTGCTCTGCTTCTCTGCAGCGCATTTCTGGGGCAGTTTGTTCCTACTGAAGGCAGCCAGGATGAGAATACAATTTTCTCTCAAGACATCTTGACTTTGCTTCTGAGTCCTCTGGACAACCAGAGGGGTGAAGAAGAAAGGGGATTTTATAATTTACTTCATCTTCAAACTCCAAGACACTGTTACTGAGAACTATTCAGTCAAATAGCTTCCATATTCTTGGCTACAAGAGAACTGTCTCAGATGTG